AGCCTAATAGAATATAGTGGAATATATATTTGTAAGTAGCCTAATAGAATATAGTGGAATATATATTTGTAAGTAGCCTAATAGAATATAGTGGAATATATATTTGTAAGTAGCATAATGGAGTTGCATGTTCATGTTTGTAAATCCTTACTGTTTTGTTTTTTTAGGTGGAATGTAGGAGAGCTAAAGGAAGTTTTTGGACCATTCATTTTAGAGCCTCTAGAAAATCAAAATGTAATGACAGAAGACAAACGGTTGGGAGAAGAGAAAGAGGTTTCATATACCATTGCAGTTGTTGTGCTGGGCGGTGCTGTTGCTATCATGTTGATCTTACTTCTCCTCTTATTTCTGAACCGTCGATTCTTGTACGTTAAAAATATTGCGAATAATCGTAAATAATACATTATTCTATGAACGAATGAAATATTAAAAAGTATCAATTACGAAATTAATTAACCATATAAATGTAGGAAGAACGAGTGTATGTATCATTCTCCAATAGTAGGTATTTCATATCATAAATCTGTTTAAATGAGTCTGACCATATTAAATCTGTTCATTTATCAGTCCGTCTCTCTGCGTGTTATTCCTGTAGTATGATGCCGTCCACTGTGACATGAGATAGTTGTATTGTGTTCTATATTGTGTGTGGTACTGCTCTGAGCCTGTCACGTGGAACAGAGATACTCGATATTCAGTGCTAAGCTTGAAGACTTATAAAGATTCACTGCAGTAGGCCCAGTCAATATAATCTATTATGGTGCTTTGTCCTTAAAAAACACCAGAAAGATATGTTTCGTTCGAGAGAGCCAAGACTTGCTGTATCATTAACACTACCAATAATGTACAGCTCTTTCTTGTATTATCAACACTGCCAATAATGCACAGCTATTTCTTATATCATTAACCTTGCCAATAATGTACAGCTCTTTCTTGTATTATCAACACTGCCAATAATGTACAGCTATTTCTTATATTATTAACACTGCCAATAATGTACAGCTATTTCTTGTATCATTAACACTCCCAATAATGTACAGCTATTTCTTGTATCATTAACACTCCCAATAATGTAC